ACCCACTACAAGAATTCCTTACCACTTGAGAAACCCTCTCAAGATTTACAAGTATTCACAAAGAATTAAGGAACGAATTCACCTGGAATTCAGAAGCAAATCTTAATCTCTTCCCTTTCAAGAATGTGATGATGATGATGATTCTTTCTCAAAGTTTTTCACAAACGTTTTTCTTCTTGGATTCACAAAGAAAACTCTCCAAGATTGTCACAAAGACTTCACAAAAACGCTTTTCTTATTTTGATTCTCAATTCTAACTCTGTTCTGAAGTTTTAAAAAGTTCAAACTATTTATAAAAGTTTCAGAACCAGATAATCGATTATTTTAAAGAATAATTGATTATTTTGTTCTTCAGGTTTTCTGGAAACCAACCAAGAACAATATAATCGATTATTTTGCTGGATAATCGATTATTCCAGAGAGTCATTTCTGGGATAATCGATTATTTCACAAATAATCGATTATTTCAGCAAGGCATCTCTTTTTGCCTGTTGCTGGAATAATCGATTATATTTAATGATAATCGATTATTTTGAGTTAGTTTTCAAAACTTTGTTTTAAGTCTCAAAATAACTTTTTAACCTTTAAACTCATCATCATACACTCCCTAATCAGATTAGATATAGATTTATCTTATGCACACAGCACACACAAAAGATAAACTCAATCAAAACAATTTTATAAACTATTTCCTATTACATAACACTTTCTTTTGACTTTGTTTTTGACTTCTAAGTTGTTGTTGTCCTTGGCACACATTTGTTATCATCAAAGCTCCTTCAAGCTTCAGAGGTGATCTCATCAAGCTCAGGCTCCCCCAATCTCAACATTATGAATTTTAATAATAAAAAGAAAGAAGAAAAAAAAATATACACACACCTGGAGAGGAATAATTGAGAGGTGGCTCGAGGTCCTTGAGAATAGGGGAGTGTTTGGATGGATGGAAAATGAAGGGTCAAGTGCAAGGGCAAGAGAAGAAGCATAGCGGTGATGCAGGCAAACACGCTGCAGGAAGATGTTAAAGAGTTTGTGGAAAAGGTTCATCCTCCCTCTAACTCAGACAATGAAGCTTAGATTTTCAAGTTCCCATGGATTTGTGTTTCTCTCTAACTATATCAAACAATGTTCCTCTACAGCGTCAGGATTTCTTTCTACAAATTGGATCACCAAAGCAGAGGGAGAACAAAATAAACAGTCAATATTCTTCAAATTAGTAAATAAAAAATAACAATACCAATATACAAATTAGGAACACAAGAAAAAAAATGTTTTTACATTCATTTTGTACTCTAAGTAAAGTCATAAAACACCCACCCACTACCACTACTCTCCATTTTTCTTTTTTAGTTTTATCTATTTCTTTTAACATCTTACTTTCACCTTTGCATCCACCAACAACTAGGAATGACAACGAGGTGGAGCAGGTATGAATTTCATGATACTTGTCCCCGAACTCACAGTTCAAATCTGTCCCTATCTCTGATATCTAATGGATATATAATTTTTGTCTTATCCTCGTCCTCATCAGGTATTGGGTATAACTATATTCGTCAAAAATTAATTAATTTATTTATAAAAAAAAACACATAATATTTTTAACTTATCTTTCTATTATATTACAATGATAATTTAGTTATTTGTTTATCTCATATTTTAATCAAAATACTTTAGAGACACTAATTCTTAAATATTAAAATTCTTTAAAATAATCAAATCGAGGACGAGTATTAAATCAGACATGGGGATAGGAACGGGGACAGGGACGGGAACGGGACAAGTAACTATATATCTATCCCCATGCCCAATTTAATATTTTGGGTTTTACTCGTATCCATACTCAATCAAATTAGGTGTTCCCTATCAAAGTCGGGACAGATTCGAATATTCTCAATAGGTACGAATTTATTTATCATCCCTTCCAACAATTGACCAAGATTTTCTCTCAATAACATTCATAAATTATATTAAGGTATTTTAGAAATTATTTTGATATTTAAATGTATTTATTTTAGAGTTTTGATATTATTTAATTAATTATATGAGTTCTATTATATTTATGAAACATGATTTGTTATTATCATTTTTAATTAGTGAAACAGGAGACATTTTATAAAAAGTATTTTATTAATAGGTATGCTTATGTTTATGTTGATTATTAAAGAGAGAGTATGTTTTAGTTACCATTTATTTTTATGAGAAAGGAAGGAAGGGTGTTTTGGTAAATTATTTATTTTTATTATTATTTATTTATTTAAGAAAGAAGTTATCAGGAGTTAAGAAGTTACCTGAGGCTACCAAAAAAATTATTTCACGCTTTTGACTTCATTTTCCTTTCTACACTCTCTGAAGACCAAGGAGAACCAAAAGAAGGAGACCAACCAGATTCTACTCATGCTTCATCTTCTGCCCATCAAGGTAAGGGAAAGTGAAAAACCTCGCTCGGGGGTGTGAGAATAATTGTTGGGTAATAGGATTGACCCTCAATCCCTTGCCTGATGTATGCTTTAGGAACAGGTAGATTATGAAAGTTTTCTATTTTAATATCTGAGTTTTCCATTGGGTTTCTGGTTGGATGTGATGCGTGAATATGTGTTTGATTTTGAAATTAGATAAGTTTTTATATGAATTAGAGTGCTCTATGGGTTCATGGAGCAAAATCCTATGAGAAACAATTAGGGGTATGATCTTTTGACAAGATTTGCGGTAGTTTACATAAAATTGAGTATGGATTCGTGTTTTTGGTGTTATTTGAAGTGTTTTTACCGATTAAATGCTATAATAACATGTTTGGTTTTTAAGTCAAGCACAATTCTTAGCGTCGGGCACAGTTTTTAAGTCGGGCTTAATTTTTTTTAAGCCAGGCTTAATAGTTAAGTTGGGCGTAGAAAAGTCCTATTAGGTGGATTTCTCCGCTTTAGGCGCAACATTTAATTCACCAAGTGCGCTCAAGGCGCACGGGCATGATGCTCCACTTTTGGTGCAACATTTAATGCGTCGAGCATGAGTTAGGGAGCGCCGAGCGTGATCCCTGTGATGTTTTACATGTTTTATGTCTTGTTTGAAGGTGCAAATTGTGTGAGAATTGCCTTATTACTGTGTTAATGTAAGTGATGTGCTTTATGAGCATGAGACATGATGTGAATTACGTGCTATTGTGAATACTATGACTATGAGAATATGAAACATGATGAAATAAGATAAGACATGAAATTCCATGACCACTAAAGTGATGAGTCCATGAAGTGTGAATGTGTGACATGCATCATGTGCATCTATGTGACATATATGATATGGAGTACACCATTAGGGAAGACTCTCCTTATGTAACAACTTGGGAGAGTCCTAGGGGACAGTGTAGTTTGGATGTCTCGATTCTATCTGTTTGTGAACACGAGACGTAACTTGCACAGCTTCGCTATCGCAACCAGACCCTAGCAGTATGTCCTTCTAGTTGAGAGTGTATGGGTAACTCCCTACATGTACTCCTAGACTACCTTAGGTTGTTGCTTAGTCAGCACACTAGTGATATGTGATTGGCACTGTCGCAACCCAAAAATTTCTAATCTTGCAACTTATAATTTAGACATCTTTTTGAAAATCTCATCAATTAAAGAATGCCCGGAGACTAGACTAATCCTTAATTAATGGGATTGAAAATAGGTTCATGGAGCCGCCACCAATGTTTTACTCAAAACATTGGAAAAAGAAAAGGTTTTTCGAAAGTCCAATAATGGCCTTGATAACCAGAATTGGGTTCGAAGGTCGGTTAGATGTAGGAAAGGTATTAAGCACCCTTATAACGCCCTTAATCAGTACCCTACGATGAAGCTACCATAAGAGATAATAATTTAAATATTAAGTCCCCTTTATTGATGATTATTTATATACATGAAATTTAAATTACACAAATTAACCTAGGATGTCTACATGGTTATTTCTTTTATTATAACGATATTTAAAATGAGGGAATAAAGAACAGATAAGAGAATTGACTAAAATACCTCTTAAACGAACTTTACTGAATCTTCAAATATGAGGATCTATTAGACGCTTTTCGACTACCTTTCACACTACACAAATGTCTCACAAATCTCAAGAAATACAATAGGAAGGAAAGAGGGAGAATGTTTGAGCTATAAGGAGTCTTGGACGACTTTTTCCAGCCCCTGGAGAGTGCTTGAGTCCACCATTTATAGGCATCAGAAACGGCCAGAACGGCCCGTTCCAGATCCGAAATAACCTGTTCTGAACCCCTTCATTATAGGTTAATTTCATAACTGGAACGGCTCGTTCTTAAAACAGAAAGACACATTCCAGAGTTGAGTTTAGCACGTACCTGTCTGTATTGGAACGACCTGTTCTAGACCCCTTCGTTATAGGTTAATTTCATAACTGAAATGGCCCATTCTTAAAACAGAACGGCCCGTTCTAGAGTTGAGTTTAGCACATACCTATCTATACTGGAACGACCCATTCCAGACTAGGATTTTAGACATTTTTAAGTAGTCTGGAACGGCCCGTTCCAAGTGTTGGAACAGGCCATTCCAGTTTGGGAACGGGCCGTTCCCGGTTGGGTATGTTAATTTTTTTCTTTCAAAAGTGACGCAAGAGCTCGTTGAGAGAATTTTTTTTATACATGTGCCACTTTTGGTCATTGCAACACATGTTTATTTTTTTTACAACACATGATACTTGGTTACCATAAACAGGGTTGCGTGGAAGATGCATAAAATGTCATGAATGGTATTGTTAAAGGTGGTTTAAAACTGAATGTCATTACATACACTATTTTGATGGATGGATTTTTTAAAAAGGGTGATTGTGAGCACGCATTTGGTGTGTTTGATCAAATGGTGGCTGTAGGCCTACTGACTACACATTTAACACCATTATAAATGGATTGTCTAAAAATGGCCGGGTGTCTGAGACAAAGGATAAGTTGAACACTTTTATGAAGCAGGGTTTTATTCCCACATCTATGACTTATAATAGCATCATAGATGGATTTGTCATGGAAGGTGCAGTTGATTCTGCAGAGTCTGCATATAGAGAGATGTGTGAAAGTGGAATTTCACCAAATGTCGTCACCTATACTTGTTTTGGTTAATGGATTTTGCAAAAGTAATAAGATCGGTCTTGCTTTGAAAATGTATGATGATATGAAAAAGAAGGGTTTGGAACTGGATATTACTGCATATAGTGCTCTCATTGGTGGTTTCTGCAAAATGCAAGACATGGAAAATGCAGGCAAATTATTCTGTGAACTTTTGGAGATTGGTTTGAATCCAAACACAATTGTTTATAACAACATGATTAGTGGCTTCCGAAATTTGAATAATATGGAAGCAGCACTCAACTTGTACAAGGAGATGATAAATAATAAGATTCCATGTGACTTGCAAATATATACCTCACTGATTGGTGGACTTCTAAAAGAGGGGAAATTAAATTTTGCCATAGATCTTTACTTAGATATGCTTTCCAGGGGTATTGTGCCTGATATGTTCATGTACACTGTTTTGATAAATGGACTCTGTAACAATGGACAACTAGAAAATGCGGGCAAGATTCTAAAGGAAATGGATGGGAATAATATAACTCCTTCTGTTCTTCTTTATAACACTTTAATTGCTGGACATTTTAAGGAGGGGAATCTGCAAGAGGCTTTTAGACTGCATGACGAGATGCTTGATAAAGGTCTTGTTCCTGATGACACTACATACGATATTCTTGTAAATGGAAAGTTGAAAAGATCATACGCTCCAGTTGGTGCTTAATCCACACTAAAGGATTCTAGGCAGCACACATTCTACTAATGAGTTTTTTGCAAATTCAGTCTTGCAGAAAGTATTGAATGGTTTGAAATTGGTCTCATCTTCCATTGTTTGTCCTAAGGATCTAGAAATATGGACAAAATTTCCTTTGCAATTTCATCATGATTTCTATTAAGGAAACCGTAGTTCTTTCATATAACCGAAGTGAGTTCTTTCGGTTAGACACTTTCTTTGGCCAAGAGCATAATAGTTCCAATGGCTAGATATCCTGCAGAGAATTTAGCATTTTGCCATTTTGGTAACAGGAATTTCCAATTGTTGCAGGTGGGAAGACAATTTGGTGCTTAATTTTAACTCTTTTACTGGACAAGGATGAATAATTGTCAACTTGTTTCCTTCACACTATTTAATTGTCCTGGCAACGGATAGGAGCTTTACTGCGATTTTGTAGTTTAGGATGGAATGCTATGATGTGTTCATGATCTATAATATTAGATCATTCTGTTTTAGCATCTCAAATTTTTTTTATGAGACCTTGAGGTTGGATACTTGAATAAAGCCTTTTTGTTTCTTTATAAAAAATAAGAGGGGTGGGGGAAAAGGCATTTATCCATCAATACCTGAATGGGCGTAGCTTTGATCCTTTTTAATGCAATCCAAGCTGCTGTAAATGACCCATTGAGACTTTTAGTCGGAGAAATACTAATTACTTCTTCTGATATTTATTATGAGGAATAGTTTGAATTTTTTTTATAAGGCATCTTATAATTTCTAGAAAGTATTAAATTATTTTTTTTGTTTGTCCTTATCAAAGAGTATGAGAATGAAAATGTGTTTTTTCTTGTTTCTTAAACTTTCTTCAATTGATATTTATCATTTTTTTGGTATTGATGTATAAGCTTTGATATGGGTAATATCTTCACTTTTTGCACGAAAATTTAATGTTAAGTAAGAAGGATAAAATTAGTAAATTATGATTTTGTTTTATAAATATAATAAAATCAATTAACATAAATACTTATATTACTCTTAGTGATTTAGTTAAAAATGTTTTATAAGAAGGACCGGACAAAGTAGTCTCTTTATATTTGTAAAATATGTTAATTGAAGGACTAAATTAATGGATATTCATTACTTTATAGTGTTTGGATCAAGAATTTTAGAAATTTAAGAAATTTGAAAATTTTAGAAATTGAATTATTTTTACTTTAATTTTTATCATTTTTAAAATGTTTTTGTTTGGACAAATCAATTAAAAATTTTAAATTTTAAATTCTTAATTTGGATAGGACAATTTGATTTCTATGGATAATTTGATTTTAAACAAATGTGTGTGTGTTTTGGTTTGGATAAGTCAATTTAAAAAATTAAATTTTAAATTCTTAATTTAGATAGGACAATTTGATTTTTATTATGTGTAAAATTGATTTTAAACAAATGTATTTGTGAGATAAAGTGTGTGGAGAAAAGACGTACATTAAAAGAAGAGGTTGGATGATGTGTTTCAAAAATTTGCTCTTTTGGGTAGTAAAGAGAAAATAACTTTACAAACAAAGCACTAGAGAAGAGTCACATGAATGAAGCACAAAATATTTGTATACTGATTTGTCTCAGAGTACAAGAGAAAGTGTGTGTGGGGGACAGGTGTGTTGTGTGTATGTTGGTTTCAGCGCTTAACATGCGATAAAGATGGCACGCAAATCATAAAGGTGAGAATCAGCTTCACTATCAATTTTTTGTTCTTATTATTTTCAAATCATCGCAATTTTTCCTATTATTTCTCGCATTTATATGTTATTTTTATAACTATTAGTATGTTTTGTTTGGATAAATAAATGGTACGTAGTAAGTAGGGAAAAAAAGAAAAAAAGAGTTATAATAGATAAAGTTTGAGTGTCAATAGTAAAAGAAGTAGAAGAGAAATAAAAGAAAAAAAATATGTTTTTCTATATTAGTTTGACAGAATAGAAAAATGAAAAAGAAAGAAAAATGTGATTTTCATATAAAGAAATTTTTGTTACATATACACATATTTTGAGACAATTTAAATATAGTTTGTTGATTATTTTTATTATAATTTAGACGTAGAGTTTTCATATAAACTTTTAATTCGTAAATTTGGTGAAATTTTAATTTTTATCAAATAATAACGTTAAAAATATTTAAGAAATTGTACATGAATTTTATCTTTTAATTTTGGCATATAAACTTATTTTTTTATGTCTTGTAGATTTATTTTTTTTTTAAAATAATATTATTAAGACATTGTCAAATACCTCTTTCAGTAGGGATTCAACTATTGGTTTGTCAAGTGAAAGACTAATTCTATTATTCTTAACTTCGCTAACACCTCATATTTTTATCTCTCAAAAGTAACAAAATAATAAAGGAATGTGAATTTTTGTCAAAAAAGAAAAAGGTATTTACATTCAAAATCAGATTAATTTTTAAGCTTAGCATTTACTTTTATTTCACTAGTTTATGCTTTTTGAGCATTGTTATTCTTTCTTATTAAAAATAGGTTTAATATTATTGTCTTCAACCTTTAGAGTTACAAAATAGTGAAGAGATGAATACTAGGGACGAAAATTATCATCTAGTGGACACTCGTCCACCACTTTAAAGTAATGACAAAAAAAAATAAAGCAAAAGAGTCATCATATTCAATTATTCATGTGCATCATAAACAAAAGCTTCTATTTCATTGGATAAGGACGAAAGAAATCATGGAAATCTAGAAAAATCTAAGAACTAGGAATTAGCTAGAGACAATAAGAACATAATTAATATATATAGTCAACTCTCTACTCTAAGTCAATGTTAAGTTTTTCTCATGCTCAAACTTCAAATATTCTTAGTAGAAAAGTTCAAAAATATTATTCAATAATCAAAATTTCCCTGTATCAAAGCTCTATTTATAAACTCAAACAAGCTTTTGGCATGTCTTAGAAAGGCCATTGAGGTGGTTGCTAATTAAGGTCCAATTGCCGATTACATTAAAAAATAATTTATATTCTCATAAATTTTTCTTATTAATTTAAATTATTAGGTGACAATCCAATTTCACCGTTTGAGTTTTTTTATATTCAATGTTTCATTATTGTCTCCAATTTAACAATATTGATTGGGAATGGAATTTGTGAGATTTATCAAAATAAAATAAAATTTTCAAATTTATAAACCAAAGATATTGCGATCCCACTTTCCATTGCCCTTGTTCTTCAAATTCATGCATTCCGAAGGGATTAAATATAATTTATGTATAAATCAAAAACTAAATTTTTGAAAAAAATAATATAAAAAAATTATAAATTAACTTATGCGTTAACAAAATATTGAAAATCACTATCCTATTTTTTCTTGCTATTTTATTTCTTAGAAGTGTTTTGTTTATAAAAAAAATTTATTGCTATGTGTGAAAGAATTATAAAACTATTTCACAATTCACAATTATTTTATGCAAATCAAAAACCAAAAGTTATAGTGATTATATCACTCTTTAAAAAAGTTATATGCATTTATTTTCTAATATCAGTTGTTCAAATAAAATCTAATGATAATCTACATTCATTGTCCACATGTTTCAGTAACAAAAATGTTCTCACCTGAATGAATCTGTGTATATGCGAAGCTAAGGAGAACTAGTAAAGAAGAATAGCCCAAATGAGTGGAAATTTTAGCATAAACAACACAACATTCTCCCTTCTATTGAGATGCAACACAGTACGCAGGAAAATTAGCATGAAGGATGCAATGCAACTCATACAAGACTGCACATGTACATTAATACAAATCAAATTCCTCTAATTGCATTAACGGAGGTAGTTGGATTACAAGATCCAAACTACAATGTGTGTTTGGTTTGATGTTGTTACTACTTTCAAGACACCTTAATAGATAAGCTTATGTTGTTTCAAATTGACGTTTGAAATGCTCAAACTTCAAAACAAATATACCTAATAAAGAGCAAATTTCAGAGTGATGTCTTTAATCTTATCTTCCATTAGGCTCAGCAATCTGTGGCATTCTGCATCCTACTTGCTCCATACATTTCACTACCCTCATGTGCTTTGCATTCCATTGCTCAGCCAACTTCTGCTCCTTGCTTTCCGCATCTCTCCTCATCCCTGCTAACTGTTCTCTGCATTCTGATTCAATTCTATCCAAAGCAGCATTCTGTTTCACCCAAAGAGCCTTAATCTTTGCCTCAATTTCATCCATCTTTTCCTTCCTTTGGCTCGTCTTCTCTACCTCCAACTGCAGCTCCACCTTTCTCAACCGCCAAGCCGCCTCCTTCCTGTGCACCACCCAAGCACAATACCCTTCTTCCAACTCCTTACAGCACTCTATCAACTCCAAGACCATCATGTTATCGCCGAAGGCTAAAACAGATCCACCTCATACCATGAGGTGTTGCTGCATTCCCTGGTCCATTAGATGCAGCAACCATAAGGTATGGTGATTGTGAAGGGTGTTGTTCTTTCACTAGTTTCTTAGCAAAAGTCTCTAGTATATGATCATATTTGGTGTCATCAACTGGGCCAATTGCTTTGTGAATCTTTTGTTTCTCCCTTTGTTGTTTCTCTTTGAACACCTCCCACCACTTGCCTAACCTCTTGGCAGTTCTACCAGGAACTTCTGCAGCGATTTTCTTCCACTTGTTGCCATGTTTCGCTTGAAGCCGGATCACAAGACGCTGCTCTTCTTCGGTTAGACAGCCTTTCTTGATGCCAGGCTTGAGGTAGTTCTTCCACCTTTCCAAGCATGACTTTGCATCCCTGTTAAGAGGCGTGTTCATGCGCTGAGATACAAGATTCCATTCTTAATGCATCCTCTTCAGACCTCCAACGTTGCCTTTCCTTCATTTCCATGTGCAAATCCCACAGCCCATTTCTTGAAACTTGAACTCTTCATCATGTATCTGCATAATTCATTGACAATAGTAAAAACACAATGCAGAATTGCTATGAAAGATCCCCCTTGTCTTCATAATAATAGTACAC